CCCCAAAACCCCAAAACCCCTAGAAGTAAATGTAAAACTATAGACAGAATAAAATGCATGTTAATTTCATTTATTTCACTTCCTTTCATCTTCGAATATTTTACCCCCTAGATATCTTTGCTGATCTAAAACTTCTTGACTAGGCTTATCGTCATTCTTCTCCTTTGGCTTGAGATCAGCCTTTTTAGCTCTCTACATTTCCTTCCTTCCTCTAAAGATCTTAAACTGCTCTTATTTCCTAATCCTCTCTCTATTTTTACGCTGACCCTCTTCTAGCTTTTTATCTTCAATGGCTTTCTTCTTCTTTATATTTTCTTCTTTTCTTATCATATGAAGTTCCTTTTCCTTGTCTTCAAGTTCCTTCTTCTTCTCTCCTTGGTGAATATACTCTCTTACTTCTACTAGCTACTCTAGTTTATAGTCGATCTTTCTAAGCATTTCTATCTTATCAGATTGATCTTCTTACTTTATTCCAGCCTTCTCGAGAAGTTAAGATATTAATGTGGAGAGCTTAGTTATCTACTCTTTAGAGCAACCGGTCATTTGCTGCAGCATTTAAAGAGCTGAACCTTTATCATTATAAGAGTCTTAAATAGTGTTAGATATTCTAGACATGTCATTTTAATGGCCACCTTTAGAGGTATTGAGTTAGTTTTATTAATTTGAGTTTTACTTAACCCTCATAGTTTAGTCCAGGAATTACTGTTTATTTATTAGTTGATTCATAGATGAAAGGAGCATCTCAATATTTGCCTTTACATCTTCAATCTCAGTTTCCTTCATCTCAATCTTATAGTCAATACTTCGCTTTAGCTTATCTAAGGCTTATTCATCCTCCTAGACTAAATGAATCTTGAACAGATTGTCCTCCTCTAGATGTGAGAGGTGTTCAAGTAAGGTAAACTTATCAAAGTAAATCTCAAAATCATCATCTTCATCCTGTAAAGCAGCATCCTCATTTTCTGGGTCTTATTTATCCATAGAAGTCTTTTATCTTACTCCATGTGGATTTTGTTGGTTAGTCTAAGTCAAGAAGAAATTTCCACTTGCTTCTTTCTTCTAAGCTCTTGTTTACCTCATCTAGACTTCAGCTTTTCCCTCAAGGCCTAACTCCGCTCTTTGAGCCGCAGTTCTTGGTTGCTTCTTACCAGCTGATATAGCCAATGTATCCAGAAAATACTTATGCTGCTTGAACACCACTAGTTTTTCGTCTATTTACTTAATCTTGCTCTTTTTCTTTTAGATATTGATCTGTAACTACTAAATCTTCTCCATCCTTTCATTTTTCTCATTCGTTAATCTTTACACATCAAGAGCAGTTTCCTCTGCTTTTCTATTCAAATCATCCATATACTTCTAAAATTTGTCCTTGTCTTCATCAAAGGTCTTCTTGGCCTCCTCCAATTTTTCTTTCTCCATAATGATATACTCCTTTAAGCGTTCAGTCTCCTCTGTTTTATCATTAATAGCTATTTAAGATATCAGTATGTTTCTAGCATTGAGAATGAATTCTCGAGTTGATTCCTTTTATTCTCTTCCTTTTTATAGATACTCCAATGCCTTAGGCTTTTAAAAGGCAAGCTAAGTTTATGAGGAGTGCTAACTTCTAAGTGACTTTGTTTCAGAGTCTTCATCTACAGCTGACATTATCGCTCCTCTAGCCTCAAAGCCTAGTCTAGCTAGTGTCTCATGCTTAAGTAAGCTTGAGTCGTTCTCGTCGAAGATGTTTAATTTTTTATTTTATTATTGCTGCTAATCATCATGAGAGGCATTCATCAGCATCAATTAATTCTCAGTGCTATATTTGCTCCCTTTGCTTGGCTTGATATCATTGATTTCCCTGATTACTCCTGCTCTGTTTGCTCTTGTCTTAATACTCTTTTGATAAACTCGCAGTACATTATTTTAAACTCTATTTAGATCTTTATTTTCTCTTTCACGTTCTCGTGCAATCAGCATTTTTTCCGTTTCTTTTTAAATGCTTAGAGGGTTTTTAGTGCTATCTCCATTATTTATCTCTACATTCTTGTATTTGTTTAGACCTAGAGTTGGCAGTTGTCCTGGATATTGCAGATACCCGTAAGGCTTTCCTGCAGACTGAATAGACCTGCCTCTATTTCTGTGCTACATCACAGCCTGGCTTAGCCTATTTTAGGGGGGCATAGAACTCTCAAATGCTAGGGTCTATTAGTTGCCCCTGGACATTGTCCTTGCTTCTTTAATGTTAAAAAGTGGTTAACTAGTTTGTTATCGGTTCTAAGATTAGAGATTGGACTGGTAGTTCATTAGGGAATTGACTTGCTAGGGTATGCCCTAGGAGTCGCCTGAAATGAAGTTATTATATTTGAAAGACATTAATGAAATTTTAATTCTTATAAAATATTTGAATTAATAAATTATACTCATTTAGAACTAAGTGATTATAGATTCGAAGATCTTGTAACAGTTGCTGCTCCTGTTATTATATTTATTCCTATTTCTTTGAAAGTTTTGACATCCCAGACAGAGACTGTGGATGATTCATTGGCATTCAAACTGAGATTGATATTGTTGGAAGAATTCCAGTCATTGTTGAAACTCTTCTTGATCACTTTCTTGGTACCTATTTGTGTCACTTTCCTGGAAGGGACAGGGCTCATTAACTTATTTTACATGGTCTTAGCAAAGTATTCGTCTTTAACCAGCTTTTTAAATTCTTCCTTTTTCTCCTCTTCAAGTTTCTAGAGTCTCTGCATGATCTTAGACTCATTTTTCTATTCCACAAGTTGATCAAGATCTAGTTAATGCAGAGTCTTGTAGTTGGGATCTATGGCATACAAAATGTTCTTCCTAATCGCTGCTTGGAAATCTTTCTCATAGACAAACTTACTCAGTTGCTTAAGATTGTACTTATCATCTATTTTGTCAAGTTTGTGCGTATTCTTCTTGAAATCAATCTCATACTTAAATGTTTAACGATTTGTCCCTCCGAAGATCAAGATCTCCTTGCTTGAAATCTGGACGACACCATTAAAGTGCATATTTTAAATGAACTCCTTTTTATCCTAAAGCTCAATCACTTCCCACTTGTAATCCAAGGACAAGCTTAAATCCTCATCTATGCTTTTCATGAGATTTGAAGACCCATGTAGGCCTGCATCAAGCCTTTCAATAAATAGGCTACTTTCATTAGACTTGCCTGTGAAGATGTAAATAAATCTATCGTCAAAGGGGCATAGGGAACAATTAGCTCTAGGATAGTTAAGTTTTGGCCCATCAAACCATCTATCCTCATCTATGGAATAAATATCACAGTCAATCAGCATCTGCTTGTAAAACCCTCCGCATAGGTAAACGTATCGATTTTTGATAAGGCAAACAGGGATGTTTATCTTTGGTGCTAGCATTTAGGCTCTTTCTTACACTTGCTATTTATACTTATTATGGTTTAGTTTTATTTACAATGTCTTCTATGAATATTTACTTCGCTAGTATATACCACCAAACATAAAGATATCCCTGTTAAGTCTTTGAACCGAAGAAAAGTTTTTAGGAAATTTCTAAGTGAAACTCTCAAATTTATGGGTTTTAAAGTTTTTTTAGGTGAAGTCATATATAAAAACTTCTTGGCTCTCACCTTTTATATAATACAGATCTTTCTTGATCATTGACTGTAATTAGAATTTTACAGTTGACACATTTTTATATTTTTCAATTTCTTCTACTTTTTATTTTTATAGTTTGATAATTCTTTGCTTTGAATTTTCTTCCTCCCTCTGAACTACATCCTTCAACCTCTGAATCTCTTGGTTATGCTAGGAGAAATCAAAGTCATGAGCGCTGGTATTTTAAGAGCTGAGACCAGGACTAATGTTAACATACTTGGGATTTTGCATTTTATGGATTCGCTCAAGTTATGCATCTAAGTAGCTAGAAAAAGCCTCTTTTTGATTTGGATTTTCATGCTCCAGCATATCATCGTCATAGTCATCATCCTCGATACTCTGAATACTCTTTGTCTGTCTGTATATCTTTAACTGGATATTCTCATCCTTTTCATTGGTCAGAGAATTGTTGCCATCTAAAGAAGAATTCAAGGACTAATTCACTCTAAATGAATCGATGATGTTAACATGGTTTTTAGATTTTAAAAGCGAGCTAAAGTTAAGTTTCGTGACAAGTTTCTTCGCCTATTCAGTATCATCATCAGCATAAGAAGAGATGCTCTAGAAGCACTCATCCTTTCTTTTAATCGGGGATTGAGACAACTTCGATGATATGTGCCATGAAAGCTCCTCCTAAATGTGATCTCTGTATTAGTTTTTGATCGAATTGATCTAATCCTGGTTAAGTAAGTTTTTCTCAAGAACTTTGTACTAATTAGCGAGTTCATCTATTTTCAGCTTATATTCATTAATCTTGAGGTTGAACTTTATAATTTCTGAGAAGACTATTTTGCGTCTAGAAGCGTGCTGCCAGTTGTCATTAGCTTCATTTTGAATCTTGGTTAGGTTATTGCTTATTACGTAGTACTAATTCTGCAGGTGCTCAATTTAGTTCAATTGCTCGCCGAACATTGTATTCTTAAAATTAGAATTATGGTTATGATTGAAGAAATCGTCAATTATCTGGACTACCTATTGTTTCGTCTGGCTAATCACATCTCTTACAGCAGTGTTAACCAGCTTCATACTCTTAGAATAGAGTGAGGCATAGTCCTTCACAGCTTTGTTGGCATTGAGCAGCAGATTTTGACTGTTTTCAACGTAGATTTTAAAACTGCTTTCAATTGAAGAATTTTCAGCTTGTATCCCCAAACATTGTTTGCAGTACTAATACAATATCTGCCCATTTTCTTTGTACTAGCTGTAAACAACTTCCTCTAAATGATCTCCGCAAAACACCTTCTTTTTATGATGGATCGCCGAGGTCGGGAGTGACTGCTCTAGTTGGGTGAATTTGTTTTTGGGTAGATTGTTAGAATGCACTTTATTGTGCTTACTGCTCATTTATCTGAACTATTATTGCATTTAATTTATTTTGTAATCTCTTCAAATTTTTATTATAATATTCAACTTGGGGTTTTGGGGTTTTGGGGGTTTTGGGGTTTTGGGG